TCATCCCCCCCCCCCCCCCCCCCAAAAAAAACACAGGAAATTATATTTGGTTGAAGCCTGTTTTTAACCATCAATTTTTTGCATTGTGATATTATTTTAATGGCATTTTTAAAAACATTTTTGCCTTAAGTTTGCAATCCTTCAATATTTTTGTTATATTGCAATAATATATACAACAATAATTTGATTACAGATTTTTATAACATAATCAACATTAAACAGTCAACAGATTAATTTAGATAATATAATATAAATGTATATATATATTATGTATGTATATATATACAGTAGGAAGGGACATGTTCCTAATTGTTATAAGAATAATTCACAATTCTAGAAATCCTACTGGATAAAAACAGACTTTTTAATAAAAACATTTTCCTTCTTTTGATTTTGGGCTGAAATATGATCTAAATATATTCTCAGCAGGTTTGTAGGGGTTTGCCTTAATAGTGCATGCAAATATCAGTTTCATCTGTCACGATATTTTCATGTAGTATTGTATCAAGCAGCTTTTAGAACATTTAGATCAGTTTTTTGGGGGGTTGGTGCATAAATGGATTTGTGACCGTGTGCGGGAACCATGACTTTGATATAGTTTGTAATTGTGAAACCGGTCTAGTCTCTTGAATGTGTTTGCTCATGAATCTGATGTCCATTCAGCTGATGATTTTAATCTATCTATGAATCTAAGCTAGAGACTGGTATGTTGACTTCACTTGACTTGTTGAAATAATAATTAAAAACTCAAAATATAATCAAAATAGAGTTTTTCAGGACTTTTAGAATTCGTTTCATAAAATGTGCTTCAGGTCTAAAATGCAAAAAACACCCAGACTGAACTTGAGCACAACAGGTTATACATATGTGCTGGTTTTCACCTCATATTGAACTGAGGTCATTTTTCTGAGGTGAGCTTTCTAGCATCCAATGATTGCTTGAAATGTGATATTAATGCTTTTATTGTGATGTGGTCCAGCGATGATAATGCAAGAGGCGGCTGAAATGGTCTACATTATGTGCTGTAATGGTAAGTGATTGCAGTTGCAGTAATTCAAGTAGCATTAAACGTCCTCTCAGGGATTCCAGCGCTGAGATTGTCTCAAAGACCATCTGACCAAATTGTGTCTCTAAATCACAGAGTCATTAACAGAAGGTCATTTGCTTTTAAAATGATTGATGTAGAAGTTCAGATAATAATACAGGGGCCGTTTTTGTATAATATTTAGGTTACAGAAGGAAAGGATCAATAACTAGATTGCCTAACAAAATCAGATTTTAAAAAGTTTAGTTTTTGGTTACATTGTCATGAAAAACTGGAGTCAATTGAATAGTTTACAGTATATTTTGAAAATAATATAAACCACCATTAACCGAGAAGCTGCTTTTGGAGCAGAAACTTCTGCAGTGTATGAATTACAGTAAATAATAGGTCATTTATTAGATAGAGACAATTAAGTATTTAGCAATAATTAAATTGTAAATTAAATTTATGTAGCGAATTTAGCTAAATTATTGATTGTAGACACTGATATTAGTTTCAAATGTAAATGTGAAAAATAAATAGTGAATTCTACAGGCATCTAAAATTAAATGCAGTATCTACAATCAATAATCCTCATAATTTAGTTTTAATTTTTTTCTTCACCAGTGTGAAATTAAGTTAAGTTTATTTAATATGTTGTATAATTTGATACAATTGTCTTTGTACGAGGAAAGACTGTTAAGGACTTTCTTTTTAATTACATAAATTAATTTTAATTATTAATGAATACTAAATAGAAAAATAAGGTTTTATATTTTTTACAGACCTTTACCTTTGCTTGTTTAAAACGTCCAAATGTTCAGACAGCTGCTCAAGACGATCAGCAGTGATCGAAGAGAAATGAATCATTTTAATGACACTTTAAACTTTTCATATTTATCTCAATTAGCATGAGTTAATGAGCCGAGATGCTTAAACACACACGAGCTCTGAATGATGAACCCAACAAACTCAGAATACTGTTTTTACGGCCCAGACCTCACAACTTCAATTATGACTCTGTGTGTGTGTGTGTGCATGTGTGCGTGCGTGTGTGTGTGTCCTTGATGTCCATTTGTGTGTGTGTTTCCTTCATGTTCCGTCATGAATGAGATTATCTCAGCACAGGTTTCCTGACGTTCACTTTGATCTGCTCTGTCGCCACAGGATGGAAAAATCCAGGGGCTTCATCAAACACACACACACACGAAATACAATGAAAATGCAGAATACTGTTTCTAGGGGATGAACCTCTACTAATGCTGTCGTACCGTTCCTCCTAAATCTAAATCCGTTTGACCTTGAACTCAGTCTTAGGTAATTTGCATATATTTAAACTTGAAAATGACCATAGAAGAGATGGATTTATGCTAATGTCAGCTATAGCACAGTTATTGGCAATTCTGAATGCAACACGTAAATCAAGCTTAAATACAATCATTTGTGTTCATGTGCTTGTATGCATTTCTGTACATCATTGTAAAAATCCACCATAAACATCAGTTTTTAGGTGTTTCAGGTAGTTAAAGCAAGAAATTACAGACAAAAGCATGGTTTTTCACATCGGTTTTGCTTCTAAAACAGGTCTTCTTTCATAGTATTAGAAAAAAAAACATTGTACATTTTAGTGTTTTATTACACTTTATCTACTTGCGTCTGTAGATTTTAATTACAGTACAAAAATTAGTTCTCAAAATAAGTTTTTACTAATACACTAAACCATAAATCTCCACTTCAGTAGCACTTCCATGAATCAAACTTTAAGTTTTATTCCCGTCTATATTCTGAACGTTTTTCTGATTCTGATTTGTGTTGCATTTTATTCCTAAAAAATATGGCAAATTAGTATTTTCTGATTTATGCAGTGATAAAAAGAGATCCAAAATCCATTCTGAGAAAAAGCTTGAACACTAATATGCCAACAAAATGAAACAAGAAATTTGAGCCTGGCTTTATGCAATGTTTGAATTTCCGTCCCGGAAATCATATGCATATTTAATTGCATAATGCATCATTTCTTGTAGTGCAAAAATGTGAAAACTTGTAATATAAAGCATTGTCTTAATGTATTGTGATTCATCAACGGGGGGGGAAGTGTGTTGATATCTATTAGTAAAGATTGTACCCGATTCACATGTAATGTCTCGCCTTGAAGGAATAGTTCACCAAAAAATGAAAATGTTCTGAAAGTGTGCTCTCTCAAGCTATCCAAGATGTAGATGAGTTTGTTTCTTCATCAGAACAGATTCGGAGAAATTCATCATTGCATCACTTGCTCACCAATGGATCCTTTGCAGTGAATGGGTGCCGTCAGAATGAGAGTCCAAACAGCTGATAAAAACATCACAATAATCCACATGAGTCCATAATAACTCTTCTTCCAATAAAATAGTCCATCCTCTGTTTTCTTCTCATCAAAATCCAGCAGCATATCAGTTTATGACTGTTTTTGCTTGTACACAGTGCTTGATCTGTGCATATTTCTCTTTTTCACCAGAGAAAGCGATATTAGCTGGAAGCAACAGTTTGAAGTTAAAAAAGTCTTTCACTTCACAAGACGTTAATTGATGGACTGGATTTGTGTGGATTACTTCAGGATTATTGTGATGTTTTTATCAACTCTTTGGAATTTTTTTTTAAAAATCTGATCACTTCATAAACAAAGTGGAATATAAAGTTGATATCTTGTTTATTTGCTACTAATTGATTCAGTTAACTTCACAAACTTTTGCAATGTAGTACAATGTAGCGCAGTCTGTGCACAAGCCGTCTGATGCTCAAGCTATATAAGGACGATAACATATGACAACACAGAGCGCTTTCTCCCGCTCTACTGCAACCTAAAGCTGAACTGTGCAGTTGTAAGTGCACACTTGTGTGGATTAAGTACACTCTCACTCGGCGGTGAGCGTCAGCTGCTGGAGTGCTCTCACAGTGCATGGAAGGAGAGCCAGAGGCCGCTCAAGTTATTCTTGCTGATTCAGCCACTCCAGAAGAGACACTGAATGGTTGAGCGTACATATGCTAATGTCCGTTTTCCCCATTCAGCTCCTTCTCTTAGCCACGGTGTGCAAACAGCAGTGCATTGTGGGAGACAGAGACTCAGCAGCTAGAGCTGAGAGGCATTTGTGTGTGTCTGTGGAGTCTGATCCTGATCTTTGGCGGCTCTGGTTTGTCTGAGTGGCCTCTCTGTGCCTCTCCGTCTCCTTGACAACCACCTGTGAATGAGCGGGAGTCTTATCAGTCAGCAGACAGCATCCTTCAGGCGCTGCAGAGC